GTGTTTACAGAAACTTATTACAAGATCATAAAAATAGCAAAATAATTTATTTTTAACACACAGGGTAGGTTTATTCAACCAACTCAATTCAAATTAATAGAGCACAATTGCTACATTTATATAAAATGTTAATCCCAATTCAACCAGTCTAATGGACAAAGGCCAAGCAAGTATTTTTAGGTCTCATTCTCTGACCATTGCATTGAATTACTCAAATGTATTGGAAAATTCAGATTCAATAATTAATGATTCTTCTGATGAAGCACTATTTGAGCATTAAAGTTTTCCTCTGGCATTGTTTATATAGTATTTTATGTCTTGGGGATTTTTTATGCTCTCATTATCCTGTTAAAATGGATAGTGTAACATTAAATCTATAACCATGAGTTTTTCTAAAAGAAGAGGATGCTCTTTTTTTTTTTCAATGTGCAGAACATGACAGAACCAGCAGCTGAATTTATCTTTAATTCTGGGGACATTTCTGCCATGGCACCAGAGGGCCATAACCTAAGTGTCAATGCTGCTAACATTGGATGTTTTTGCATGGACAACAGATGGAAATATATCCATCTTTTACCTTTTGTTTTTAGAGTTAGATGATGCTGGGAGGGGGATGTGAATGAGAGTCCAGCTAGACATAACAACACTAAACCTAGCATGAGAAACAAGGTAAGCAGAGCTGATAAGGAATTGGTGGGCTGGAGAACTGGAGAGGAAACCCATGTTTCAAGCTAATTGGGGAATGTGATTTATGACTGTTAATTGGAGGAGGGAATTGTGCTTTGATAACTATGTGCTCAGGGGAGGGGAATTCAGTTTTTGGCTTTGCTTATGCAGTGCCGATATTGTGCTACTCAAAATAAAGATTCTTTAAGATAAACAATGCCTCGAAGTTCTTTTGAAGAGTTTTAATCTGTTGGAACCCTGACACTAAGATATACAGGTGATTGTATAAAACACACATAATTTTGTCTTCCAATACATTGTTGTTCATTTCTCCCTATAGCTGCTTAAACCAGCTATGTCAGTCTTCCTAATGGCAGGAGTAACCACGGCCCTAATTCACAATGCAATAATATTTGGACTTACCTATAATACCCATCAAAAACAATATAATCAATTTAGGAATAATCATGAACAGGTCAGTCAATATCCTTGATTTTCAATCATATAGTATGTTATATTATGCAATCTTTTTCATTGTGTCCACTCCCAAAATGGTGCCTGCTTTCAGGAGGGCACAACATGGCCTTAGTGTAAGAAGACTGTGTGGCAGATCAGCTGCTTCCCAGAGGATGTACAGAAAAGTGGATTGAGTTGTGATGGGGGGGAAGATGTGGAACTCAGCAGGGTGGGTGGCAGGCCCAAGGTCTGTGGGGACCCAGCAGGGTGGGATGAGAGCAAAGCCATTGCTGCAGTCAGCCGTAAGGGTGATTGTATTGCCAAGCACCCTAATTTTATTTACATGACTGCAGCCATACCTTTGGGCAAGGGCGTAAGTCCTTTTGTTCAGTAATTTCAAATGGTTGTTGAACAAACAATCATAAGACAAGGACTACTTGTACAATCCTCCTCCTGTTTCTATTGTCCATAAAATTGTACAAGCTCTAAGCACTGAGTGATGACAAGTCTACTGTCTGTACTCTGATGGCATTCCATAATAGTAGTCAGTACTTCTCAATCAGATGTCCTTCAGATGATTTTTAAATATTATTCCATGAAGCACAGCCATATTAGGAATTCTGAACACTGTAGTACAACTATTGTGTAAGACCCTAAACTGGGGGAAGCTGATATAAAAGTAGGTAGTGAAAGATGAGTGCTGCCTTGTGCTAGAAAGCTAGAACTGTACCCAGAGGGAAAACAACTTGAGATAAACCTAGAAGTAATCTCATTATATTATTTATTTATTCAAGTGTTGGGAAGCTATTTCAGTCCTTAAGGATGTAATTCATTGTAGCAGAATTGTGCTAATATAAAGGCATCATAACACTTCAGCGAAACACCAAGCAACATTGAAAGATCTCAAATTCAATCTCTGGCAACTCAAGGATCAAGAGGGAGTGATGGTGACTTTGACCAGAAACTCTGCAGTGTCTCTGCCATTTTGAGCATACAATATGTAACTAAGCTAGATTAAACAAAAGTATTCTTTCCAGGTCTTTGCGTGTATAGGAATGGAAACAGCGGAAACAGCACGATACTAGACACTTACTTTAGTATGCTTGAGAATGAGGATTTTGCTTATGGAAACCTAACATACTGAAGCAGACTAAAGGAATAATAAAAAAGAAATGTTTTGGACATATGGAATCCATTTGTGTGGAATATTTAAAAATGTCTCTTTCTTAACCCCTGGATTTCTTTTATTTGCTATGTACTATCTAACTTAAATATTTATGCTATGTACTATCTAACTATGTACATCTAACTTAAATATTTATTAAAATTGCAAACAGCAACTTATCTATCCTGGATAACTGTTAATAACAGGAAAGAAGCCTAACATGCACATCTCAACTTTATACAGGTAGTCCTCGACTTACAACAGTTTGTTTAGTGACCACTGAAAGTTTCAACGGCACTGAAAAAAGTGACACATTACTGTTTTTCACACTTATGACCATTGTAGCATCCCCATGGTCATGTGATCAAAATTCGGATGCTTGGCAACTGGTTCATATTTATGATGGTTGCAGTGTCCTAGGATCATGTGATCACTTTTTGCGACCCTCTGACAAGCAAATCAATGGAGAAGCCAGATTCACTTAACAACCTTGTTACTGCAATGATTTACTTAACAACTGTGGTAAGAAAGGACATAAAATGGGGCAAAACTCACAACAAATGTCTCAGTTAACTACAGAAATTTGGGGGTCAATTGTGGTCGTGAGTCGAGGACTATCTGTATTATGTTTCTGTCGATTACTTAAGATATTTTATATGTTAACATTCAATAACAGTATTTTGGAAACAGAGAAGAAATTTGCCACGTATAAATATGGGGTACTGCTAGTCTTATTTCAGTAATAATAAAAATAATAGCTTGAACAGTCATAATTCCTTGCAGGCTAGCTCAAAAATTTTTCTTATTGCTTGTTACATTTACTCCTGCATATTTATTTCAAAGAGCCTGGTGGTAAAATTTCTATTTTGTAATGCTAACCTCTTACACTGCTGTAAGTGTAAACTTTATCACTCTTATGATTGCAAATAGTACTAATTAATTATTGGCCAAACCATCAGGATGAAGCCTACAGGTATCTGGGCATTTCACAACTGGATAACATCAAGAACCGATAAGTTAAAAAAAAATATGATTAGTAAAGTGAAAGAAAATTGCTAAAGACAAAATTGAATAGTGGCAACCCCATCAAAGCCATGACCATGCCTTTGATATAATCCATGGCTAGAATTATTAATTGGACACAAGCTGAATTTTACCAAAAAACAAGAAAATTGATGACTATTCACTGTGCATTATTTTCCCAAAGTGATATTGATAGATTATACCTGCCCCACAAAAATGTACGCAGAAGTTTACTTCAGGTCAAGCAGACTGTAGAAGAAAACTATGCATTGATTAATTATGTAAGACAGCCAAGAACAAGCATTGATGCAAGGTAAAAATTGGAACATCTGTAAAAATATCATATGCCAGTACTTAAAATTGTGGGAATATATATTTGAAAAAATAGCAGTAGGTTAAAATATTGTGGGATTTCCAAATACAAATTGATAAATCTTGGTTCATAACACACCAGATTCAACCTTGGTTGAAAAGAAGAAAATGTGGATAATTGTTGTGTCAATACCAGGGGATAGTAGAATAGAAGACAAAGAATTGGAGAAGATAACAAAGTACCAAGATCTGAAAATTGAAGTTGGAAGTTTATGGCACAAATCAGCCATGATGGTCCCAACGGTTATTGACACACTGGGTACCATACCTGGAAAATCTTGGATAGTACTTAGAAAATCTGTGCAGTGACAAAAATCTGCACATGTATTTCACTGGTTCATTACACAATCCTAGGTTCCCAGAAAGAACTTGATGTGTATGAAGGCCAACACCAGATAAATAACTGGTAACTGTGATTTCATATTATAAGGTACGTAATAATTTTAGATTGAGACAAGTTTATTACTAAGAGAAAAAGTCTTTGATCAAATTGTTAATAAACTGAGTTTGATTGCATTAACAAATAATATGGTTGATTGATTTATATTTTAGTATTTCATATAAATCTAACTATGGTGGCTAAGTCATGGCTTACAACTGTATTATGTGAACATATCACAGATATAATAAATCATATTTAAGCAAACTATGGTTTAGGATGATGGGTAAAGCAAATCAGTGTGATAATAACGTCTGGCCTTACCAGTCCGGAGGACAAGAAGGAAACAAAACACACATGCTATATTGTGATTCTGTATTGTGATATACATAACCATTCAATGGGATTTATTTACAGCTAAGACTGGGACTATAAAGTATATGTTACGTTACTGTAACAGTTGGTGTATATTTACAGCTAAGACTGGGACTATAAAGTATATGTTACGTTACTGTAACAGTTGGTGTATATTGCAATTCTATATATCTGTTCAGAAACAAGTCTCTAATGGGATTTGCTCCCAGTTAAGTCCCAAATTATATTCATAGCAATGCAATACATGGCTAAATAGAAGTGCTATTGTAAAACAACAGACCATGATGTACAATCTTTTGTATAATTTTCTCCCTTAATTTATGAGATCAAAGGTTCTGTTGAAGAGACTCTTTAAAGCAAAGAACAGCAAATCATAATTTTGCCTGATGGTTTAACTGAAGTCAGTTGAAGAAATATAAATGTAGGAGGTGAGATGGATATGGGATTCATATCTCAAATTGTGCTGCAAATATATATGGTGTAGAAGCCATATGAAGTGACCAGAACCAAGGTTTTTATGTGGGTTTGGAGGTTTGGAGAATTGAAAAAAGGAAACACTACATCTCTCCAAAATAGTTACTTTTAGGTTTTGTGTAATAAAGCTATAATTTTATTATGGCAAGCTTTTTGATAATTCTACAATGTGTTCATAACATTTCTCATCAAATAACTCAAGAGATAATTAACAATTTTTTAAAAAAGTTTTAGAATAAAAGGTAGCAATTACAGCTACCTGAGACCTAGGAGGTATTATCATCACAGTAAGAACTATGCCAAATGCCATTTATACTGCCCCAATCAATAGTTTTTTTGCTCAAAAATTAGAATTCAAAAGGGCCTAAATACAAAACATTATTTTTCTGAAATCAAGCATGCTTCACATGCTCATTGGCATCCAATGGCCTGCAAATTCTGTTTGAAGTGATACTGTATATTATAGTTCTGTATGAGTTTGCCAGGAGATTCAATGGCAAACACAAAGCATATTGATTTCCCTTCCTTTGAAGTGGAATTGACTACATTATTTTAGGCAATGGACTCCTAATGTTTCCAAGACACTTACAGCTATTCTATCTGCCTCCTGAACAGACTGTCTACTAAAAAAAGATAAGGAAGAACCTGAGGCAATATAGAGATCTTGTAGATTCTTGTAACATTCTGCGAAATTGAGTGATTACAGCACTTTTTATATTCCATTAACATCAGATGCAGATTAAGCCAGTTTTATCTGAACGTCTAATGTAAGAAACATATGAAACTGGGAAACAAACATGATTCATTGGACTTGTAAAATATTTCTAAAAAAATCTATATATTCCTAAATTAGAAGTTGCCCAATAAAATATTTTTCATGTTGTTTTTATTTTGTGGAACTAGCAATACAACCTAACTAATCTGAAAATTCCCACTAGGCAAAATATGGTCTGGTTAAGATTCTTCCCAAATGTATTTCAATTTGGGGAAAAACTGAGAAACTGATAACATATATTTCTGAACTGAGATTTCCAACACTATGCTAGTAGAATAACTGTATATTGATAAAAGGCTCTCAATTAACAGAATAAAAATAAAGGATTTAAATTATTAAAATGATTAAATTATTAATATAATAAATCCAATTGTTCTTAATATAATTTAGCTTCATTCACCTTCATATGGATTATCTTTTGACCTCAAATGATAATAGTAATACTAACATTATTGCACCTGTAAAGTTTTGAAAAAAACCTAGGTGCAACAGTTACACATAAATATAATTGAATTGGCCTTTATTAAATATGCATGTCTAGACGTGTTCTTCCTCCATCACAATCGTGTATATGATAATACAGACAAGGATATAAAATATTCCTTGTGTCCTTTAGACTAGTAGGTAACCCAAAGATCATTATTATAAAAAAGCAGGGGTATTCTAATGAAAGAAATGAGATAATGGATTCCATTTGAATGAAACTATTTTCAAAGTCTAAGTACTTCTGCCTAATGTTGATTCTACTAGCACTGCACAGTAAATGTGATTCTTGGTGACTGTTATTTAACACAGGAGAAAATAATCAGAGTATTGGAGAACAAGCTGCTACAATACCTTCCTGATTTTTTTCCACATAGGAACTTATAGTTGGAGGACTGCCAACAGAGGAATGCAGGAAACCAAACTGTGTCATAAAATCTGATTCTTGTTGCATACATTTTATATTCAGAAAATTTTATGTAAGTGTACAGTGGCAGGACAATTGGTTTTTAATGATCAGAAACTTTAGGAAAAAATCACAAGATATCATAATGTTAGATTTCTTTTTTAAAGTTAGAATTAGTTTAGTTAGGGAGTGTTCAAAATTAAACTGGAACTTTGAGAGTTACCCAGACCTATTTGTTTTTTCCAGTAATTCCTCTTTTCTCAACTATCTGAAACCCTGATAGAAAAACCTTGACATCAGTGAATGGATGTTAGTTGAATTATTTTACTTTAACCACATTCCAAGAGAACAGGATGGGTAACTATTCATTTAAAATTAAGTAACACAGCTTTTCTATGGGTGGATCATAACAAGAAGATCACAGACTCTTAGAGGGTATTCTAGATATTTCAAAATGCAATTGCCTCAATTCCAGGCTGCAGTTGTATGCTGGTTCCTTGAAGAAAATCCCTTTGAATTTGATGAAAATCCCTTTTGACTAGACATGCATAGCATTAGATTTTTGTTTATATTTGTGTGGTCATTTTATTGTATTCTGAGGGCTAAATCAGGTATGAAATATGCATGTACCAACTACAGCCATGTCAAATAAAAACACAAAGATCAATATTCTACAAAGCAAAGTGAAAAAAAACATTTTGTCACATTGAATTGTCTCCTAAATAATCCACAGTCTCAAAGAGAACTACTGTAGTACTTTGGGCTAATCAGTACATCATAGTAACTCCTGTTGTTTCATTTTGGTTTAGTAGTGAAAAGGGTTTGACACATTTTATAGCTTGGTGTTATACATGAACCAAGTTATTATGGCTTGTTCAGCAAACCATGATAAAATTACAGTCTAGTTCAATAGGCCAATCTATAGTCTATTATCAATATTTGTATTAATTTATAGAAACATAGTGCATTCAAGTTTTAAAGTTGTCTCCTTGACAGAAAGCATTGTAGTTTCAAAGGAGAGGCTGGACAAAATATAAGAGAATCTCCTTCTTTAGATGTCTGAAGACTGCATCTTTTAGGTCTTGCACTCTAATATCAGAAAAAGGTGAGTACATTTAAGAAACACTGCTTCTTGATTACCACTTGATTTTGAGAACTGAAGTTATTTGAACAAATCTAAACCAAAAGGATATTTAGAAGCTAAAGGTTTCTAACAAAAAATACGTATCTGAAATAAGCTGACAGATAAGAATTTGAAAATTTTAACAGACTGATAACAGAACTCTTTAAAGGTACTATTCAACCCAGTTAATGTGCTTAAATAAAATTGTTCAGGTGGCTTAAGTGCACAATATTATGTTACATTATGATTTTGAGAGCGCTTGTCCCTAAACTGCAACTGTGGAAAGTTAAGGCTAACATTGACAACCATGTAAATATTTTAGAAACAAATCAATAATTAAAAAGAAATAATCCAACACTGCATTATCATCATGCTGCTTTTACAATTTTTTTAAAGAACAGTTCACTGAATAAAACTAATTGTCATGGTTTGCACATAATGCTATACCATAATGAGTGGATTCACCCATCATTATAAGTTAAAAATAAACAAACTACAACACTAAATGTTTAGGGGGAGAAAAAACTCAGTATGGAAAGTTGATCATTTACCATGAAAAGAAACAAGAAGTTCTGGACAAGGGTTAGCCTGTGGTTACTGGTATTTTAAAGAATTCTACTGAAAGTAGCAGCAATTGAGAAATGCAGTTATATACCTTCCTATTCCAAAACTAAGTAAATATCCTGCATACGTATTCCCATTTATCTCCTTATCAATTCTAAATGCATATAACATCTAGTTTCTGAAAAAAAAATCCAGTGACAAAGATTATTTAATATATTAACAGCAACAAATCAGATCAGTACTTCCAAACAATTGTTTAAATTATTTCTTAAGTTACACAAATATGTAACTTAAAGAGTCATTTGAAATACTTGAGCAATAGTTACCAAACTATTACCATAAAATTCAAGGGAAGTTTTTTTTTTTTTTTTTTTTACTCATGTGCTATATTGCCTTCTAACCTGTTCTTCATAGTTATTTCACTGTCATTTCAGATCTTCAGATCAGGTGATGCCTTTCTTTCATCTGAATGGACTGATGTAGTTCTCAGATAATATCAAGCATTTTAAACCATAATTTGTAGAACATAAATGTATTTATCTTGGTAGCATTATGTTTACTGATGGAGGTACAGATAAGGACATTAACCATCGAATTGGAATGGCAGCAGTCGTGTTTCAACGCATGCATCCAATTTGGTCTACAGCAGCCATTAATATATTACCACAAAGATAAAACTTTTCAAGTGTTGTGATACCAACTGCAATATATGCTTGTGAAACATGGAAGTATACAACTAAGATGATTAAATGGTTAAATGTTTTCCAACAATGCCACTTGAGACGAATTCTCTGTGTCTCACATAATGACCATATCACTAACGAAGAGATACTACAAAGATCAAGTTTAGAAATGTGTATTAACATTGTGTGCGGCTTGTTGGCAATATCTTAACACATGCCTAAAACCCAGCATCCAAAAATTGTACTATGTTGGATACCTCCTGCAGGAAAAAGAAAACAAGGCTGGCCTTGGAAAACTTGGCGCCAAACACTTAAGATCTTAAAATTATTAATGTCCCTTGGGACGATGCCAAAGATACCGTGAATGATCAAAACTGCTGGAAAACACTTGCTGCTCAATGTGCTCTGCATAAGCCCTAATGATGATGATGATTTGTAGAACAATTCAGAATCACCTAATTCAAACACATAATCCTATTCTAATAGAGTAAGGCCATATATCATACTAAAACAAAACAATTACAGTTTAAAGTTGTTCATGAACAAATTCACATATAAAATTAGCATATTTGTTTTAGTAAAAAAAATAAAAAATGTTTTCTTTGCCATAAATCTATATCGATAGTTTGGCCTTTTAAAATTGTAACACAGACATCTTTTCATATTGAGGCAAAGAGATATGCAATATCCTCAGCCATCACTATTACCAATGTTTTTAAAATGATATACAATATCTCTCTACATTTAAAAACATTGGCAATAGTGGTGGCTGAGGATATTGTTTTGATGTAGTGGTGACCAGTCAAGGTGATGGCAAACATTGCGCAATCAGTGGCCCAACTCCCCTATGCATACAATGCTCACAAACGGGGGTGGAACTTCAACTGGCAGATTTTAAATCTGCTTTGCATATTTATGTATTAGTTGGTATAGACATATACATCTGAATTTATCTATGGAAGATATTCACATGACAAGCCCTTCAATGAGACTGTAGGAATTACTGATGAGTTTCACTGTTGTCTTTAATCAAAATGCTTCACTTCCTTAATGATTAGCATCAGGAAGAATGAGAATCTGGGAGAATAAGAACTGCTATATTTTCTCCCCCCCCAAAAAAAGCTACATAAGCTTTTGTATTTAGACAAGCACAATATAGAATGCGTATATATATCTAGAATGCTGGGACCAGACACCATTTTCTTGGACAAGTAAAACTGCAACACTTGTTCATTTGTGCTAATATGATTCCTACTTCATACATTCCATATTCATATTACTTTATTGAGGGAAATTAAAAACAAGGCAAAATCTTTCCCCATTATCTGACTGCCCCTCCTTGAAGAACTTTTTTTAATTCAATTTTTTGAAAATACATTTCAGCAAATAAAAAGACAACGGAAACAGAAGAGCAGCAGAAATATTTGAGAAAGTCCCTCAATACCTCACTGCTGAAAAGTAGTTAATAAAGTATTTTTGAATGTGATTAAAAAAGGAATGTCACAAACTCAGTTTCCTTTGAAAGGCATCAACTGTGGTTTGAGCAAAGTGACTTGCCCCATCTCCCAGAACTCTAAGCCTGACCACTGTGTTGCAATCACCTCACAGGGAACAACTCTTTGTAGTCTTTGTGACTGATCCCAAGTCCTCTCCTTGTCCACAGAGGAATTACAAATAGCCAGTCTATTCACTGGCTCTTCATTCCACTCTGGTCGTTGGCTCCACTTTTTCGTAGAGCCATTTTCAGTTGGCTAGTTCTTTCTCTGGAAATGAAGATTATCTGAAAAATTCAGAGCAGTTGGCCAGGTACAGATGTAAACAAAACAAACAAACAAAACTAAAAGTGATGCAATGGCACTGTTAACAAACTTCATAGATTCAATCAACAGGAGTCAAGCTTAACTTAAGAAAGTCTTAACATTTTTTATAATCAGCATAAAATTACATGTTTTAGTCAACATGCAGAAAGTCAAAGTTATCTTGATTCTGCATAATTAGCTAGGTATTTTTCTAGAATTTTACCAATTATATTTTAAAATGCTGGAATAAAAATATAAAGGCTTACTCTCCTTAAAAAAGTTTTAAAATAAAAAAAATATTTGGGCCCAGGCCACCAATCTCCATGCTTGTATATTGTTATGTTGCTACTGAAACTTCAAGCAGGAAGACTGGAGCAACTTCAATGTATGGTGTGAATTTTTTTCTCCAACTATATGCAGATGTACATCTGGACAGGATCAATCCAGGAGAATATCATTTTTCTAAATTTACAACCAATTTAAATATGCCATATCTATGCAGTAGGGAAATAACTAGATGTTATTCTTCAAGTGAGTTGAATTGGATATATTATTCAGTAAATTCTTTTTAAAAAAATTTTGTATTGCAGTAGATTAACAGACTAGTATAAACAAACTTGTAGGGCTCTAATTAAATTGATTTACTAAAACCTAGTGGATGTATCAGGTTCCAGAACACATTCAGAAAGCATTCTAACAATACAGAAATAGGTTGATTCTAAAGACTTCTCTCAGCTACTATTAAAATGAGAAGTAAAGTGATAGAAGGTATGAAAGTTATAGATTTGAGAAAATGAAGTTAAGTAAAATACCTTTTCTCATTGTTTCAAGGCCTCAATTAACACTTAACCCTCTAAAGAACAGGAATCATGAGCATAAGATACGTTCATATACATGTATTTTCTTCTAACCAACAAATAACTTCGCTGAACAGTAATGATTCCTGGCAATGTGGGCCCATGTTTAGAATCAAACAAATCAATAGCCAGAAAAATCTTCCAAACCACAGACACATGCATGCAAGCATTACTCACTGAACTTCTAGTCGTATCCCACTGATATAATTCAGTATCCTTTTATTAGATAAATGGTCCAAGTTTCTATCCAAAGATGTATTACACGGAAAGATCTTATGCTGACACATTAAGAAAGAAAATACAGCAATGCTGCATTGTTGCTTGTGTACTTAATATTCTGGTAAAAATAATAAATAGTGTTTTTAATCAACACAGAATCTAAAATGATTTTAAATTTTGTTGTTGTTTTACCAACATTTTTCATAGTATCTAGTGTGCAAGTTACAGAACTAGTTATTTTTGAGTCACTGTGAGGTTTGAAATCAAGCCCTGTCAGATGTGCCAACCCTTCAATCATAAAAATGTCATTTACTAGAAAAAAAATGAAAAATGCTAAAGGCACAAAATCGCATAGCTGCTCTAATAGAAATTTGTAAACAGAGAATTGGCTGAATTTAAGAAATTCAAACCAAAGAGAATTTTTAAAAGGCATATGAAGTGGGCATTAGCCCACTTCCTTAAAGACCCCGACAGTGTGAGGTCTATAGCATATGCACTAAAATACCATATTTCAAAAAAGCAATAAGGCAAATAGTATAATTATTTCAGAAGACATTATGATGGTAGTGTAGGCATTTTGGGTATAATTTAGTTACAATGTATAGTATAGTCTCTGCTATGTATGCATAATTATTTTCTCCTTATGCAATTATTAAGTTCTGGAATTTAGAACAATTACAAAAAGAGCTTTGCGAAACACCCTGAGAGGTGCCAACGGTCATTAGAGCAGCATTTGCCTCTGTTGTTTATTCCATCTGCAATTCAAAAAATAGCCACCATGTAAAGTTTATTAATTAAGCAACATTAAACACTGTCATATTTGTGAAGAGCTTCTTCTAACTTTTGGGTCACTTTTTGAAAAAAAATGATTTGCTGTTGTAAGAAATGCTGCATTTGTGATTTGAAGTCCCTGACTCGAATTCTATGGAAATGGTGAATCTCCGCCAAAGTGGCAAATGAAATAATGTTACAACGATCCTGAATCCCATCAGCCTTTTGGATTTCCATTTTTCCTTCTTCTACATGCCGCTTACTTTCCTTCACTTTGGTAAGGGCTCCTGCACATTGGATAAAAAATAACAAAAACAAAACAATTATTGAAAAATGAAATATGATAAATAGATTAAAGGTTATTACTAGTTTCTACAGAAATTATGAATGGTTCTGACACTATATGAAATAGACTATCTATCTATCTATCTATCTATCTATCTATCTATCTATCTATCTATCTATCTATCCATCCATCCATCCATCCATCCATCCATCCATCCATCCATCCATCTATCTATCTATCTTTGAAGTTTTTCAGACAGACCGGTCTGATTGATTACACCTTGGCATTTTTAAGTGCTATACTGCAGCTATATATTATATATTATAACCTATGTCTGATTTGATTAAATAAACTAGAAAAATTAAGCAATTCAAACATCTGTTTTGCCTTGAATTTAAGATACGCTTGAACTGGAATAGCTTTCCTCTTTCAAAATAGTAGGTAAATATTATAGTTATCAATCTAAGATATTATCTCTCCACATACTGTAATGTTTTATCTGTATTTAAGAATAAGGACAAAAATTAAGTAAAAGCGAACAAAATATCATCCAAGCTTGTTTATTAACCAAATAAGAATTATTTTTTCACTGAGAACATTTGGTATGGCTAGATATATTTTGAACCACTCCTTGGAATTCTCTTGTTTGCTTAAACAGACTTCAAACCAACAACCTTTGTACTCATAGACTCATTTGAAATAAATAATATCAAATTTGAATAACCACAGGGGTTTCCAACCTTGGCAACTTTAAGGCTTGTGGACTTCAACTCCCAGAATTCCTTACCCAGCTGATTTAAAATCACATTGTAATTGCACAATAATCTGAAACATATATCCATGCTTTGGATATGTTCTCACAGTTCTGTTCAATTTATTTTCAGATAAGCCATTAAAAATGTTAAGTGCTACACACATTTTAGTATATCTAAGTCTGCAGCTAAATTTGTACATCTCCAAATTCAGAAAGACATGCAGATCAAACATTTATCCCAGGTTCCCTCAATCTATTTTTTTAAAACAGTGGCCATAAACATCCCAACGTAAATCAATGGTGCTTCAGAAGTCTCCATCCCTCTGGAGTCTGTGTCAGAGATTAAGGCATGCTGGGACTGCAAGAAAGGCAACTCTGAAAGGTAATTCTAAAATTAATGTCTCCTCAAACCAGCCTTATGTTGAAGCTATTTTAACATTAATTAGCCATCGTAGGATTTTAATCACTAGCTCCAAGCAGGGTCATCTTACGTACTGGATTAAAAAAAGATGCAGCTACCACAAAACTAAGCTAAAGTGCTTCCTGAATCCTACAAGTAGAATACATGAGCATTGTATAAGTTAGCTTGCTAGAGCAGTTGCTTTAAACCTTTTAAAACTTTCCAAGAGAATTTGCTGAATAAGCTCTTTCAGATTGCTGCGGAATCTGTTTCACAGAGTCAGTTCATAAGAGTACGGTGAGATACAGTGGTTGCCAAAATTTCTAAATAGCATCAGGATTTCCAAGACTCCTAGAACTCAATTGGAAAGTCCTTGTGTTACACTACACTAGGTGATACTATAAAAGTAAATATTGAGTGAGCTCATTGACTTTGGAAGTGTCCTAAGTTTGTAAAATATTCACTACAAGTGCTGATAAAGAAGTGATTAGACATTATTTTCACATTCTCTATATAGATAGTCCTTGATTTACCATTGTTCATTTAAAGATTATTCAAAGCTATGATGACCTTGAAAAAGTGACTCACAATTACAACCATGACATTACCACCATAATCACGTGATCACAATTTAGGCCTCTTGTGATCATGCGATTGCAATTTGTGACCTCCCAGCAGGCATCTGGCAAGCAAAATCAATTGGGGAAGCCGATTCACTTAATGATTGTGTGATGACCACATAGCTTAAGGACAACAGCAATTAGTTTAATGATGGTGGTAAAAATGGTTGTAAAATTGGATCCAGTCACGTGATGACTTCTTTAAGCTGCATCACTTAGTGACTGAAATACTGGTTCCAATTGCAGTTGTAAGCTGAGGACTATATCTACATTGTTTTTAAAAGGTATAGATCAGGGGTCCTCAACCTTGGCAACTTTAAGACTTGTGGACTTCAATTCCCAGAATTCCTCAGCCAGCTTTGCTTTGCTGGCTGAGAAATTCTGGGAGTTGAAGTCCACAAGTCTTAAAGTTGCCACGGTTGAGGACCCCTGGTATAGATCATATCTTCAAAAATGGCTATCATAAAGAATCCTATCGCTAAAGGAGTGTTGGGAGAAGATTCCACAATGCAGGGCACCACAACTCCCTAGACAACAGAGCTTCCTAGACAACAGAAACTGTAACAGGCCTCTTCTGCTGGAACTAGGGGGACTTAAGACTGTTGTCCCATTTACCATAGAAAATCTACTTTCAAAATATGAATCTATAAGAACTATGCAGAGACCAACTATTCTAAGTTGAAAATCACAGAAGAGTACAGGCTAGGGGAAGCTACGATGCAAAAAACTTTACCTGTCCTTTCTTAATGACATTCCATGTATTATGCATTTATTTAAATTTATATGCCATTCATCTCCCCGATAAGGTGACTCTCTACAGATCATAAAAAGATAAATAAAAATAATTAAGATATTAAAACTATGCAAATTGAAAATTTAAAACTATACAAAAAAAAAAAAAAACAGGACCAAGAGACAGGTGCCATGTAAATTAGGTCTTCTTACTCTGTCAACCACCTCCAGCAATGAGTGCCCCTCCTCAGGGCATCAAACCAACTGGCAAAACTAAATTGTAATATCCTTCGAGAAGGCCAAAAGATGGGAGTAGTTCTCATCTAAGTGGTAGAGTAATCTCCAGGGCTCTTCTTGATTCCACCCACTGAAATTTCTTAGCAGATGGGATCCATAGCTGGCCTCTTCCGCTGGCCTAGTCCCATTGGGGTGAGATGGCTCCTCAGATATCCTGGAGCCATACTTTTCCCTTCCTTGTTGCAAATAATGTTCTGTCTTGACTAATTCAGTAAATATTATTCTTTACAGCAGTTCTCTTCCCAGAAAAGTAAAGCTAACTTCTTATATTTGATTTATCAGTGTGTAGCTGATAAGGGTTTTCAGACCCAGGTAAGGTTAGCATTGCTTTGCTATGGGATCTTAATAAAATTCTTAATGTTATGACAAATTTAAAATATAATCATTTTTTAAAACTACTTTCTTTTCTTAGGAAGAATGCTTACATTAAATGGTTCAAGATGGTATGCCATCTCACTTTCAACTATTATAGCTTGGAAAGTCCAACTTTTTGTTCTACGGTACAAACTCTCCACAATCCCTTCAAAAATGTACTGCACCATTCAAGAACAGAAACTGATACAGATCAGTATCTAGTTTACGTATTTGGTTTTGACAGTTACAGTAATATTGAGACAAATCACCAGGTCCAAATCACAAAACTGTTAGATACTACAAGTGGATTCATGCAGTTATTGTTCTTTTTTTGCACTCCAAAATTATTGAACATTAATGTCCTGAAAAAACACTTTCCCTAAATTTCAGATCATTGAAAAACAAGCAATAATAAATATGCACAGAGGACATCAAGATATGACTTCATTTTAACCTGAATGTCTTTGCTGGAAGCAATAGCTTAAAAATTCTGTACAATGGAACAGATGTGATGAAAGTGTGCAAAATATATGTTTTACAATTAAAAACATGTGCTTCAGTGTTCTTTTAAATAATAAAATTTCTGTTACAATAATTTTTCATCTGTTCATTATTAAAGAAATAAAACAAAATCAGGAAGACTGCTAAGATGGTAAAAAGACTAAAAACCAAGTTATATGAGAAACAATTACAGAAAGGATGGTTAGCCTGCAGAAGAAATTATTGAGAGAAGATACCATGGCAGTTAGCTCCAAAAGTCTGCCATTGGAGGAAGCAGTTAGGCTTGCTTTCTGTTGCTCTTTAGGCAGAAATGGAACTAGTGAAATGAAAAAAGCAGATTCAGGCTAGCTGTTAGCCATATTTTTCTTGGATGCTAACACTGATAACATTTTTTACATTTCAGCTCTTTGACACACTGCTGTTATTCTGGAACCAATCTTCAGAATACTATTTCCAGCAGTCTTGCTTCAGTTTCAATCCAAATAATTTCATTCCTTTACCATATGTTTGCATAAGTAAACATATGCTCGATCAAAAGAAAGATACCTTTTCAAAAGTAGATACTCATCAAAGAATCATGACTCTCATTCATCTTTGGATTTCCAAATGGCCAGATCCCCTTTTTGCACTCTCTAATTCTGTCCCACCCATCCATTCATATTGCCTAGCAAAACATTTTTCTCCCCTTGGATTGCCCTTATTTGGAATGTTTTGCAAAAACATCTCTACTTTTTCCAGGTGACAGTTGCCTGTTACGATCCAATAAGCATAACATAAGCTGGTGATAACAGAACCATGAGCATAGAAAGGAAGGGGTCAAAATCTGCAAAATAGTTGATGCAGAACTGTGATCCAAGTGTAGCCCTCTGGGTACATATTTACAACTTCAATTCACCCAAAGAAGAGACAGCCTTAGATTTTACTTAGTAAATATATAGTCTCACATCTATGACTCTAGATCATGATGCCATACCCACCATCTTTACCCCACCTCACTATGTGGCTATTGCTGAATGGGACACTCTTCATCTGACACCTCCAAAAATGTTAGACAAAACTAGTGTTTCTCAATCGTGGCAACTTGAAGACGTGTGGATTTCAGCTCCCAGAATGTTGGCTATGGAACACCTTCAGGTTGCCAAGGTTGAGAAAAATTGGGTCAAAGAGCTAAATAATGTCCTTTTTATTAGATGAATCTAGTTGCAATAATCAGAATGAGATTATTTCCTGATTTTTTTTCCATACAATAAACTTCAACATGTGCATAAGATTTTTTTTTGCAAGATATTAAAGACAAGATACAATTCATGGTGATTTGTGTCTGTAATCAGCACAAAGAATAG